ATAGCGCTGGGAGAGCGTCTGTCAGCGTCGAGTAGGTCTTTTCACCATCATCCGTGGAGATTCTTAGCTGTGCTGGGTAGATGCATTTGGCCCTGATGTTTTTCTGCTTTAACTGTTTGATTGTATCACGCACCTGGGCTCTCTTTTTTTGCAGCTCCGGTGAGTAATCATGGTCGAAGAATATCGGCTCTGTTTTGTACAGGATCTGTCTTTGGCTCCAGGCTTGTCTTAGGATAGCGTCCTTCACAGAGTAATCCAGAAACTTGACAATCAGTGATCTCGGGGCGGCAGTGGGGCTCTTTGGCTTGGTTGTTAGGGATCGGTGGGCTCTCTCAATTTGTATATTCACATCAGGCATTGGCTGAAGGACTAATTGAATTAGCTCCTTCACAAAAGTCTTCGCATCCTTGTTTAATAGAGCGGAAATTCGCAGAGCTCCTTGCCCCTAGTAGGCGATCAATAGGCTCTCCCAATTTCTGTCTCTCTTTGCTTCTGTAATAGAAACCATGAACGCTTTGGATGTTGTTGCTTTGATTGGTGATAGAATACTCGCTGCCTCTAGCATTCTCATACAGTCTTGCCCCTCTGCTAGGATTTACAATCTCGCTGGAGCGCTAGTCTCTTGTTTTTTATTTCGGAAGGAAATTCCCGGGGTCTAGAGTTCTGGGATGAAATAGGCAATTATGGTGGCCCGCCCTCCATCGAGCCACCCGTATTTGGCTGGCATGTCCCAGAGAGCTCACGAGGGGGGCAGCGCCGAGAGTGTGCCTGCATATTTCATCTAGGATTTTCACAGCAACGTGAAAATAACTGCTGCGTGACTGGCTTCCTCTCATGCAGATTTCTCTGTAGAATCTGCGGTTCATCAGTGTAATAACATTGATCCCGACCCATTGAAACAGCGGTATCGTCAGCATGGGTTTTCTACATAGATCGTGAACTGTACATTGTGTAAACTGTTTGTCCGGTCCGCCTAATCCGTGTATCTTTACGGTTAACCGGAGCATGGCTTTGATAATAGATTTATTGGGTTTCTATGTTACAACTTCACCCTAGTTCAGTGTAACATACTCATGCTTTCTGATCAACCACACCGAAACACTGTCCAGCGGTCTCAGCGAGTGGTCCATGGTACCATGTGACATGATAAGTATATCAGCTCCCACCAGGGCGCGGCCGTTCTCCTGCATGAAGAGTTAATGATTGAGTTTCTGTGGAGCATGGAGGGCCCACCTCGCTGCTGCGCGAGCCTGTCCACACTCTGCCTAAGAACGGCAGTTGAAGTCCTCCACCTAATATATAGAATAAGTCGCCCTCTCCTGCTTCTTGTCCCTGCTACGATCAAAGAGTGCTCATCCATCTTAAAGAATTTGGACACGTCCTCGTCTCGGGGGCAGTACGTATCGGACTCTTTCTAAACAATTCGTCAGTGTAATTATAGACCCAATCAGGAAACCTCTATTACTATTCACATATCTACCCCTCACTTATAATCTATCCAATTCTGTTTTTTCAATGGCATAAACAAACACTGATTTAGCTCGGTTAGCCACAGATCTTCCACGCAACTCTCTTTTCTCCATCGGCGTTTATATGAAGAGGAACATATAGAAATCGATCCACCCATCGTGCCTCTCCTCAAATTTAACGTGCATCTCTTTTCTGTCCAGCCTCTATGTCGCATTGCTTCATAGAACAGTGTCAAGTTTTTTAAGTTGTTGCAGGATTTTTTTTCTCTAATTGGACTATCTATCATAAGCCTTCTCTGAGATTCATACCTGATACAGTTTAAACTATCCCATGAATTTCAGTAATTCTGTGTAATTTCCATCTCTCTCTGCA